GTCTGATGTAATCCCATTTGTCTATTTTTGCCTATCCTTTATTGTTACGTTCAAGAAATTTTTGCCAAAACCAATGTCAAGAAGCTTTTCCCCTACGTTTTCTAGTAGTTTCACAGTTTTATATTTTAAATTTAAGTCACTAATCTATTTTTAGTTGATTTTTGTACATGGGATAAAATAAACGTTCAATTTCATTCTTCTGCATGTGGATAGCCAGTTTTCACAAACGACTTGTTGAAGAGACTGGCCTTTCCCCATTATGTGATCTTGGCAACTTTGCTGAAGATGAATTGACCATAAATGCCCGGATTTATTTCTTGGTTATTCTGTTGAATTGGTCAATATGTCTGTTTATATGTCTGTACCATACTTTTTTGATTACTTTAGCTGTGTAGTATATTTTGAAAACAGAAAATATGAAGCCTCCAGCTTTGTTCTTCTTTCTCAAGATTTTTTGGGCTATTCGAGGTTTTTTGTGGTTCTATCAGAGTTTTAGGATAGTTTTATCAAATTCTGTGAAAAATGCCACTGAAATTTTGATAGGGATTTTATTGAATCCCTATCAAAAATCACTTTGGGTAGCATGAACATTTTAACAATATTAATTCTTCTAATCTATGAAGTTGGGATATCTTTCCATTTATTGGTATCTTCTTCAATTTCTTTCATCAGTGTTTTATAGTTTTCAATATACAGATCTTTCACCTCCTTGGTTAAATGTATTCCTAATTATTTTGTAGGACATTGTAAATGGGATTTTTCTTATGAATAATTTCTTTTTTGGATAGTTCATTGTTCATGTGTAAACACACAACTGATTTCTGAATGTTAATTTTATATCCTGCAATTTTCACAAATTCATTTATTACTTCTAACAGTTTCTTGGTGGAATCTTTAGGGTTTTCTACATGTAAGATCATGTCATCTGAAAACCGAGACAAATTTACTTCTTCCTTTCTAATTTGGATGTCTTATTTCTTTCTCTTGCCTAATTTCTCCAGCTAGGACTTCCAGCATTGTGTTGACTAAATGTGGTAACAGCAGACATTCTTGTCTTGTTCCTGATGTTACAGGAAAAAACGTTCAGTTTTTCTCCATTGAATAAGATATTAACATTAGCTTTGGGTTTGTGATATATGGCCTTTATTATGTAGAAGTACATTTCCTCTCTATCTAGTTTGTTTAGAGTTTTTATCATGAAATGATACTGAATTTTGCAAATGTTTTTTCTGCATCTATTGAGATGATTATATGATTTTTACCCTTCATTCTGTTAATGTGGTGTATCACATTTATTGATTTGCCTATGGTGAGCAATCCTTGCATCCCAAGAATAAACCCACTTGGTCATAGTATCTGATCCTTTTAATGTGCTATTTAATCTGATTTGCTAGAATTTTGTTGAGGATTTTTGCATCTATGTCCATCAGGGATATTACCCTGTATTTTTTTTCTTGTACTATCCTTGGATAAGACATTTTTTAATTTCACAATGCTATAAAGATTTCACAATTATTTTTAACCTGTATCTTTCTAATATTCAGCAAGTGAAAAATTAAATTCTATGTCCTGTTTTTTAAAATGATAGCTCAGCACATGTTTACTTCTCCCTCTCCTAGTCATTTTAGTTTTCTGTTATATAACCTGGGGATGTTGATCCAGATGGTTGTTTTAAATTTTTTTGAACTTTATGTAACTTCTCTTTCAAGAATCTCTTCTAATACTTGCATTGTGTGTATCGCATATACAATAAATACTTAAATTCATCTTTATTTTAGTTAATTTTGGCATTCACTACTACTACTTTTTTATTCTTAGTATTTTTTTGATTTTTTTTGTTGTTGTTGTTCACAGCTAATGGGTGCGGTGTGTACCATCTGGGGGATGGATACACTTGAAGCTCTGACTCAGGTGGG